TATTATTATTATTTTGGCTTTTTAAGTCTCTTATGCTGTGTTTTTCAGTGTTTTTATGAGTGATGGTCACTTGTTGGCCTGTTGGGTGTATTGTGTCCAAATTTGGTGTCAATTCATCCAGTGGCTTTTGAGTTATGTTAATCCCACAAACAACATTACATTTTTATTTATATAGGCTAGCTGTACTCGCCACACAGTGCTTTGGCCAACCATCCTCCCTCTTTCTCTCCTTCTTTCCCTCCTTCCCTTCCTTCCCTTTTCTTCTTTCCTTCTCTCCTTCCTTCTTTCTCTACCTCTTTCCTTCCTTCCCTTCTTTTTCTTTTTCTTTCTCTCCTTTCTTCCTCCTCTACCTCTTTCCTTCCTTTCTTTGCTTTTTGCTTCCATCCTTCCTCCTCTCTTTCCTTCCTTTCCTTCTTTCCCTTCTTCCTTCGCTCCCTCTTTCCTTCCTTCCCTTTTTTCTTTCCTTCTCTCCTTCCTTCCTTCTCTACCTTTCCTTCCTTCCCCCTTTTTCTTTTCCTTTCTTTCTCTCCTTTCTTCCTTCTCTACCTCTTTCCTCCCTTCCCTCCTCTTTCTCTTTCTTCACTTCTTTCTTTCTTTCTTTCCTTTCTTCTTTCTTTCTCCCTTCTTTCCCTCTCCTTCCTTCTTTTTTTCTCTCATCATGAAACCTTTTAGTCCTTTCCACTGTTTTTTTTTGGGGGGGGGGGAGTTATGAGTGATGGTCACTCGTGGTCTGTTAGGGGTATAGTGTCCAAATTTGGTCAATTTGTCCAGTGGTTTTTGAGTTATGTTAATCCCACAAACAAACATTACATTGTTATTTATATAGATTGCTTAAAATGGAATTTGAGTGTCCATAGATTTTGATATCTACAGGGGACACCTGGAACCATACCACAGTAGATACAAAGAGTCCTCTATATAATAAATACATTTGGAATACATTGTAATTATCCTTAAAATAAAGGTGAATAATACACTAACCTTAGCAAACACCTTCCAATGTTCTACAAAATCAGTCTTCTTTACCACATGGGTGGAACAGCTCCTTTGGCAATACATTTCTTGCCATAGCTGGCAACTCTGAAAACTCTAAATACTGTATTTTAAATGGCAGGAGATCAGAAAAGATATAAAAATTAATACTGCTAGTCAAGTAATTTTAATCTCTACAGGACCACGTTGTTTTGTTGTTGTTTGACTACTGGTAAGTTGACTTTGAATTATAGCAATCTTGTGAATGAGAGACCTCCAAATCACCTTATGTATGGGAAAGAAGTCAGAAGACTACGTAACATGGAGTTCTTTAATGTGCGTCATCTCTGCCCATGCCGAAGAAACCACAGAATTAAATGGCCTACACCCATTATTGATGGCAGATATTCTAATATGCCTCTGGCCTTCTGTTTGTGCATTTATAGGGTGCCAGAAAATTGAGGATTTACTACATTCTTTACTCTTCTGAATATTATATTTAGAATGAAGATTCAAATTCTTGGGATCTATTCTGTCTAATCTACATTCCAATAATGTGTTAAAAAACATTTTCTATCTCCTGTGTGATATCAATTCAATGGTATCTCATTAGGTTTCTCGTTTCACCCTGGCAGAAATGAAAATGCAATCTAAATCGGTTGTTGATATTGCATTTGATTGCTATGAGGATGCTCTGAGCTCATTGAGTTTTATCTAATCTAAATTTTAATTTCATTGCTTGTATATCATGTGTATAATATGTTGTATTTTAATGGGATTGGATTTTAATAGGCAAGATCTGTATGCCAATTGTTTTATGCAGTACTGTTATATTGTTTTATAGTTTTGCACACTTTATATTATATTTATTCGTTTGTATGCAAATAGCCTACGTCCAGGCATTTAACAATGGAATTTTCTAATGGGATTTCAGAAAGATCGAGTCTTGGAATGAGAATCCTATCAGTAAGCAATTCATATTCACAATTCATCTTGGTCAAAGTGGGTGTCTTTTAGAGGGGAGAAGAAGGAAAGAAGCTGGATTTAAAACAGAACCCCTTACAAGCTGTTAGCAGAATCTGTTAGCAGAATCTGTTTATATTTCAGCTGTTAGCAGAATCTGTTTATATTTAAACAAGCATCCATTGGGAGGATGTTGACTTTACTGCACGGGGCACTGTCAAAGTTAATGGGTGTCCTAGAACCAGGTCAACTGTTTCCCCCCAGATTCCATCAACAGCACAGCAGCCACTTCACACAGACAGCCATGCAAACCCCTATCTCCACCATTTCTAAAGCTACTACTCTTTGGTAAGGGACAGTAGGTTGCGTAAGTCAGTACCAGAATTTTCATGGCAGTCATGTGGTTTTTGAAAGTGAAGTGCTGGACTACAAGCAGACGCATAATACTGTTGCTCAGATGATTCATTGGAACTTGTGCCACAAATACCATCTGCCTGCAGGGGCGGCTCAACCCATTACGCAAAGTAAGTATTTGCAGTATAGTTGATTTTGCCCAGGGGTGCTCTTGAGGTGCTCTTGGGGGAAAATAGACCTTGACATATGCGAGTTGTAGTTACTAGGATGTATAGTTCACCTACAATCAAAGAGCATTCTGAACTCCACCAATGATGGAATTGAACCAAATATGGCACACAGAACTCCCACGACAAACAGAAAATATATATCAGTGATTGGTTGGGGAGGGGGGCGCCAAAATACTGTTTGCTTACCATTGAAAATTACCTAGGGCCACCTCTGTCTGCCTGCAACAAAGAACTGGTGGGGTCACAAGCCTGAAAAAGTTTCAGAAAATGAACACGTCAAACTACTCTGGGACTTCTGAATTCAGACAGGAAGAGTATTGGAGCACAATACTCCTGACCTCACGATCGTGTTAAAAACTAAGTATGGATTGTCGATGTTGCAATCCCAGGTGACAGCAGAATTGAAGAGAAACAATTGGAAAATCTGACATGATATGTGGCTTTAAAGATCGCACTGCAAAGACTCTGGCACAAGCCAGTCAAGGTGGTCTCAGTGGTGATCGGCACACTGGGTGCAGTGCCTAAAGACCTTGGCCTGCACTTAAACACAATCGGCGCTGACAAAATTACCATCTGCCAGCTGCAAAAGGCCACCTAATCTGCATGCATTATTCGCCGATACATCATACAGTGTTAGACACTTGGGAAGTGTCCGACACATGATCAAATATAACCGCCAGCAGAGAGATCTTGTCTGCTGTGGACTCACCTTGTTGTGTTTCTAATAATAATAATAATAATAATAATAATAATAATAATAATTTATTTATATTCTGCCCACTCTCCCCAAGGGGACTCAGGGCGGATTACAACAAAAGACAGCAAACATTCAATGCCAGATCCAATACATAAATAGAAACACAAAACAATCAATTAATATATCACTTGTGGCTATCACTTGTGGCTGAGTCTGATTGCCTTCCATGTGTAGAGTCATGGTGGTGAGTCCATAAGTGACTGTAAAGACCTATTCTGGATTTTCAGATAGGATGAGGCGAACATCATGGGATGGGACTCATTCTAAACCATTCTCAGTCTCAGAAACTGTGTATTTCCTAATGTGATAAGATCCCAAGAAAGGCACACCATTTTTTTACTTAAAAAAATAGGAATTGGTCTGGCAATCTTAAATACTGATTCAATCCAATCTGGAAGAAGCTACCTCTGACCTCAGATCAAATATTTCATGTCACTTGTGGTTTACAAAACCATGCATTTGAGTGCCTTGTGCCCCCTAGTGGCCAATTCATAGAGAACTGCATTTTTGAACTCAATTGGGGTAAACTGTAGGGTGATGCAGATGCTTCATCTGGATCAGGATCTTGATCCCTTGTTAGCAGCTCATTTATTTTAACTTCAGTTGGACTTTGGGTTGTATGCTCTGTGTGTATATGTTAAATGTGTTTGTCAACCGGGACTGTGGCGCAGCTGGCTGGGAGTCACCTGCATTAAGATCACTACTGACCGAAAAGTCATGAGTTCGAAGCCAGCCTGGTTCGGAGTGAGCTTCTGACCAATTTGTGTAGCTTGCTGTCGACCTTTGCAGCCCAAAAGACAGTTGCATCTGTCAAGTAGGAAATTTAGGTACCACTTATGTGGGGAGGCTAATTTAACTAATTTATGAACATAAAAATCTCCAGCAAGCATGCAAAGAATGAGGAAGTACTTCATCAGTGTCACAAATGGATGGTGAAGCGACAGCTCCCCTGGTGGCCAGAATACCCTCATGAAAAAGCTGGAATGTTAAATATCCTCTGTGTGTCTGTCTATATATGTTGTCTATATACGTTGTGTGTATCCAGATCTTTGGGATTCAGAAGCTGGATTATAAGGCAGTGTAGATGGGCCCCCCACTTATCAGAGGCAAGTGGGAATAATGCAATTGGCGACCTTGATTAGCATTGAATAACCTTGCAGCTTCAAAGCCTCGCTGCCATAATGCAATAATCCAAGTATCCATATCTCTGGGATTCAGAAACTGGATTATATGGCAGTGTTTATGGGGCCCCACTTATTAGAGGCAAATGGGAATGAGGCAATTGGAAACCTTAGCATTGATTAGCCTTGCAGCTTCAAAGCCTGACTGTCATAATGCAATGATGCAAGTATCCCCTGGTAATTTTCTGTATATGATTATGAAAGTATTATTTAGTGTTGCAGAACAAATACAGCTAAAATGCAGAGTTTGTCCCCCTTCCCCCATGCCAGAAATGACACTGAAATCCCTAATCCCTCTTTCTTTCTTCCTTCCTCCCTCCCTCCTCGGCAGCATCCCAAAGGAATAAAACTGATGATTTGCTTGTGCATGAAAGGGGAAAATACAATGTCAATGACAGGGCAGTCTTCTCCTCGGAAGTCGCCTGCCAAGGAAGCGAAAGGAAGCGCGCCTCCCTCTACCCTTTCCTAGCTCTACAGCAGCTCTTTGGAGCCGGCGCCTGGTCACGTGACCGCAGGGCCCAGCATCAGCTGACTGCCCCGCTCTCTTCTGCTGCTGCGGCTGCTGCTGCTTCTGCCTTCTCCTCTCGCCATGTCTTCTTCTGCCGCCTCGATCTTGTCAGAAGCCGAGGCGGCGGCGCTGCTGTGGGAGCGGGCCTGGTCCCTTGAGGAGGTCCGCGCGGGAAGCCAGGGCTGGTCCTTGGCCGCGGATGCCGGGGTAAGGCCGGGGAGGGAGGCCCAGAAGGAACGCAGGCTGGTGCAACGGGACTCCAACTCCCAGAAGCCCCCGCCAGCGCGTCTAATGGCCAGGAATTCTGGGAAGTGGAGTTCAAAACACCAACCTACGCAGGCCTGGTCTCTGCGTCCATAGCAGTGCCTTTTTACCGGAAGTTAGATTCAAAGAGCTTATAATTGGTTATATTTGAAAGCAGGGTTCCCACAGGGTTTGTGAAAATGACGCCATAAGCACTGGGACCGACCTAGGACCTCAGAATAATGGTTGGCTTCTTCGTTTATTGTTTTCAGAAAGCCCAAGAGCCCCAAACAGGTGTTTAGGCATTTATCTAAAATACTAATAGTAATAAGAACACTTATTTTATATTCCGCCCTATCCCCCCAAGGGGACTCAGGGTGGATCACAGTACACATACCCAGCAAACATTCAGTGCCGTTTTGGATAGACAATACAGAGACAGACAGAACAGAAGGAGGTATGTTGTGTTGACATCAACGTCCAGCTTTTGGGCACCTTTGGAAAGTTGTGCTCAAAATCCAGCCACAGGGGGATGCAGTCACTCCATTCTCTATGAAAAAGAGTCATCGGGACTTCCACCTTCCTTTTGGTCACCTGACCTTTTCTGATCTTTTTCTTTATGGTGTCGTAAAATACCTCCCCTGCATGTTTTTAGTGGTACCTAATTTCTCTAATTACAGCACAAGCTGTTTTCGAACTGCTTAGGTCAACAGTAAGCTGGGCTTGACAGTCGGCAGCTCACGCTGACCTGGGGCTTTGAACTGGCAACCTCGCCTAAGGATTTGTTTATACTATTACACAGCGTATCACATGACAACCTTTCATTTACATATATTTTATAAATATGTTGTTTATTGCTTATTTCACATAGACTCAGAGGTTTCTCATTACGTTTACATAACACACCTATACACTGCAACCAACATCCTAACGTGTCGTGACACACAGTTTGGAAAGCTTTGGTTTATTGGGCAACTGCTGCTGCTATTCAACTCATAAAAGTCAGAAATTCTGGAGCTCAGTAAAAATACCTGGATGGTAGACTGAATACCAGGTGCTGTAGGTATTATTATTGTTATTATTATTATTATTATTATTATTATTATTATTGCTTTTAATGAATTATTTTAAATGCTGAGAGCCACTTTGTGTCTCAGTCAAACAATGGGATGTATTATTATTATTATGAATAATGATAATAATAATAATAAATAATATAGCAGAATTTTTGATGCTTTGCCAAAAAAGGAAAATATATGAGCATATACACAGGGAGAGGGAGAGTGGGAAAAAACTGGCAGAACTACTATTTCTTCCTAACCTAAGAAAACCCTGGGAAATTCATTGGGTCATCTTAAGTAGGCAGGCAGCTTGAAGACACACATATAAACATAATTAAACCTTCTGTTTTGGTTCTGCATCTGACAGAACCTAATATTCTGTTAGGTCCATTCCTGTCAGCATTACAGGAACTTACTGTTCCTGTAATGCTGCTATATTCTAATAACATGTGAGTGGTGTATAGATAAAAACCCAAGGCATTGCTGTTTCTATTGCTCTAATCTTCTCTCCCCCAATAATATAAAAAAGTGAATGCTATATGGATAAAACTAACGCTGTTCTGTACAACCTTTGTTCTAATTCTGTCTCTTCCGGTCTCTCTCTATCCATCATGTGTCCTTGAGGACGTCTGCTGCATCTCCTTTTTCTCATAGATGCTCATAGATATTCTTATTTTTCTATAGCTTTTGCATTTTCTACAAGAGTTTTCCCAGCAAACAATATCTCGGACTCATGAAATCAAAAAGCAACTGGACAGACTGATCCATGAAACAAAAAGTACTGATTGTCGCCTGCACAATGTCTTCAATGGCTTCCTCATGCTTTCAAATACACAGTTCATTGAAAATGTAAGTATGTTATAATCATGTGCTAGGCCGTGAAATTAAATAAACATCTGGTGTGGTATGAACATGTGGTATGGATAAAACTGCTCTTAATGAATGTCATCAGCCCAGTAGTCTTGGTCTTACAGCTTTGAAAACAATGATCTAGACATGTAATTGTTTGGTGGGTTTTGAATTGTTTAATATGAGGTAGTTCTCTCATTTTTTGGTTGCATCAAACCAAATTGGTTGCAGAAGCCAAATGTAAATATGGAAACTTAGTAATGGTAAGTGCTTTGAGATAGCATTTACTAAATTTTACACTAGTATTTCTTCATTTATTTCACCTTTAATTATTTATTCATTGACACCTGGCCCTCACTGTTACAGCTCTTCATGGTGTGTATTATTATAGCACATCTTATATCCAACTTTTCAACTTTCTGATACATTTTAATATGATCAAGAAAAGAACCAAGACTGGGTTTTGGAGAGGATACACTGTACCTATAGTAACTAAGATCAGTAGAAGACAGGCCAAGTTTGGTCCTGATCCAGTACTGTTTGATTCAGAGTGCTCTCTTGATGTGGGTGAACTACAATTCCCAAAAATGTGGGTCAGCCTCCCCACACCTTACTGGCTCAAATATTGTGCTTGCTTTGCTTGTGAACAATGACTGCATGTGGTTTTAAAACAATTGAATATTTATGTTTGTATTTATAGAGAGTGTATGATGATGAAGTGGAGGAACCCATACCTAGAAGCGAACTGGGGGACAAACCAGAACAGGCAAGTGAATTGCTTTAAAAACTGTCTGTCTGTTGGTGACACTCGGTGTCTATGTACTGTGGTGAAAGTGACAAATTAAAATGCTAGGAGCATAAGAATGAAGAGAGGTATCACTGCCTTGGCTCTGCTTGTTACAGCATACCTACTCTTGACCTTGAGCCAAGTGTCTACTGAGGGCAGTGTACAAAAAAGAGCTTGATGCCTTGTAGGAATAATTGCATTCACTCAGTCGTGTAGATAACTGGTTTCCACAGTCTCAAAGTAGGTAGGAATATCAAAATGAGAAACCTAATATATTGTTCATGTAAACTATCAATTTACCTGTATGATGGTAGGTAGGGGAGCAGCCACTTACCTGTCACATGAAGATCTTTTCGTTAAAATAACTGTCTCGAAGTAGCCCATTGGCTATTCAACTGGAATTAATTTATATACTGAAGTGTATATATAACCTGAATTAGATTCCGAGGTGGGAAGCATGAATATTACTGGGAGAAGTGTCAACAGTTTAAGATACGCAGGTGATACAATGCTACTAGCAGAAAATAGCAAAGACTTTCTGTCTGTTGAGGAAAGTCAAAGACGAAAGTGCAAAAGAATTGTTACAATTTAACATAGACAAAAATAAGAACCATAGATGATCCTTATCTTTAGATGATTTACTTCTAAGGTGATTGCAAAGGCATTGAAATAGTTTGTACATTGACTCAGTCATTAATTAAAATGGAAGATTAGTCAAGAAATCAGAGGACATTTAAGATTTCAAAATATAGCAGTGAAGAAAACAAATAAGATCCTCAAGTATAAAGAGATATTCAAAATCTGGATCATCTGTGCCACATGGTTCCATGTATTTTTTGTGAAGGTTGGACAAGGAAAATAGCTGAGAGGAAGGGCTGGAGGAGAGTTCTACCTATACAAATACCATGAATTGTCAAAAAGATAGATCCAAAAGCAAAACAAGCCTGAATTCTAGCTAGAAGTCAAAATGGTTAAACTGAGACTGTCACACCTTGCATATATCATGATAAATCATGACTTTTAAGAAAAGGTAATAATGCTTGGTAAGGTAGAAAGCAAAAGGAAAAGAGAAGGCTACATTATAAATGTATAGATTTGGATGTGGAGGCCATGACCCCAAATTGACAAGACATTAAGAAGACTGTTACTTACTACCAGTGTATCTTGGAGGCCCTCTATTTTGCATTAAGTCAAAGACAGTTTGAGGGTAATTAACATCAACTGTGCATACTTAGAAAGGGATGTTCAGAACTTACATTTACAATGTGCTACTCAGTGTATGTGTAGCAGTACACTTATACATGTTTATGTCAACAGCATTATGTCAGCAGCATTGGCTAAAGATAGATAGATTTCTGGGCAAAACCTGAAATTGCCTTTTCTTTCACATGGAAGTCTAAGTGGCATGGACCCTATATGTTTTCAATATAACCATACTCACTATAATCAGTGATTCATTGGGCCAGGACTTTTTCAACTCTGCCCCAAGTCTTCTACAATGGATTACAACCTTGGCCCAAGGCTTCTACAATAGAATATTTTGTTCAGTTCAAGAGATATCACTTTTTTCCTATTACAGGAGATATTGTTTAGAGTTTGTATGCCTACCATCATGGTTGTGGCTCATTAAATTGAATTTTAATTATTCTTAAATGTAATGGTTATTGGTAATTAGATTCTGTTAATTTCTCTTATAAAATTATTTTTTAAATGAATTCAGGTATATGAAGTTCTGAAGTTTTTTAATTAAATGGGAGGCTTAACAAACCAGCTTTGTTGACAGGTAGTTCAGGGACAATCATCTGATTCTTAACATCAATAAGTCCAAGGAGTTCATAGTGAACTGCAGAAAGAACAGACCAGAAATCCAGCCGTTGGTCATAAATGCAGACCAAGAGAGTAGGTGACCAGTTGTAAGTTCCTGGGTGTCACTCTTAAGGAGGATCTGATCTGGGCTGTTGGTTAAGAAAGCCCAGCGGTGTACAATCTGAGACTTCTAAGGAGCCAACAACAGAATGAAAAACTGCTGTTGACTTTCTACTGCTGTGCTATAGAGAGTGTCCTAACCTACTGTATCTGCGCATGGTTTGTTAACTGCACAGTGGCAGATAGGAAAGTGCTCCAAATGGTCACCACTACTGCCCTCTCCCCTCTTTGGAAGAACTTTATAAGTCCCTCAGCCTTAAGAAAGCTTAGAACATTCTTAGGAATCCATCTCACCCAGCATATTCATTATTATTATGATTATGATTATTATTACCATCTGATAGACAGTACAGGGTGACAAAGACAAACAGACTGAGAGATAGCTTTTACCCTAGAGCTGTAACTATATTGAGCTACATGGTTTCGCATTGATGTGGCATTGAAAGCCGTGGTGGTGGGAGTACGGAGAAATGAGTGAGTTGTTTTTGACATGTCCTGGAGAAAGCATTTAATTTCGTTGTACAATGTACAATGATAATAAAATTATTCTATTGTTGCCCCAAAATCCCAGTTCTTCTGTTGTACTTTCAAACACTATAGTCAGAAATTAACTGTCGAATGTATTGGTTTTGCTTCTAAAGGAGAAGACCCGTGAGCAGAAGGAAATTGATTTGATTCCCAAAATCCAAGAAGCTGTGAATTATGGACTGCAGGTTCTTGACAGTGCCTTTGAACAGTTGGACATCAAAGCGGGGAATTCAGACTCTGAAGAAGAAGCAAATGAAAGGGTAGAATTAATACTGGAGCCTAAGGTAACGGTCCTTGTATCTCAGGTTTGAATCTTCATCTGCACTAAAAAGAGAGCATAGCACAGCAGATGATCTTAGATCAGGGATAATTTGTTTTGAAGCTAGTGAGCTAAAGATGTGGAGAACATTTCACAATCTGAATCCAGACAGTGAGCCCTATTCTCAGGTTTCTAAGGTGTTCCTGCTTTTTCCCTATATTCTCAATAACCAAAAGACTTCTATAATTCACCTTATCATTTCCCCATAATCCGATGATGCCAAGTAATTGGAGCTATGTTCTTACATATAAACCCTGGGACATTTCATTTCTTTTAGTTAATTAATTTCAAAGTTTAGTATTTATACATGTAATGTCAGAGAAAATCTTGTTAATCTATTTTAAAACATTTCAAAGCCATTACATTTGATAGACTGAAATTATTTGAATTTTGTTTTAGAGAAATATTCCTGGCTTGAAAAACTGATATCTTAGTATTTTAAAACTAGTTTTTATTGTGTGAGTGGGTGTAAAAAAGTTGATAGGTTGCATTTGTATTTTGGGAATGTTGGTAAAGAAAACTCATAAAGCAAAAAATTGCAGACCAAAGATTTGTATGACCCAGCCTTCTCTTGACATAGTGACCCACAGATGTATACAAGCAAACACCCTTATTTTCCTCAGCTGTTGATATCAAGTGTACTGCATCTAAAATTGGGAGCAATACAAGCCATCCAGACAAATACAAGCCATCCATTGTTAATTTTATCATCTGTGGTTTATTCTAATCCTCTTAAAGCAATCCAAGTTGACAGTCTGAAAGCAACCTCTTTCTCTTTCACCTGAGGAATTGAAAGGGTTTTTTAAAATATATAATTTGTTAGATAACATGTATCTTTTTAGAGGACCCCTCATCACTTTCTGGTTACCTGAGCCCCCAGCTTGTTATGATGGTATGGTTGATAAAGTCAGATTTAAAACTGACACTCAAGTGTTCTTAAGTAGGGGGGCCCCTGGTGTCACAATGAGTTAAACCGCTGAGCTGCTGAACTTGCTGACTGAAAGGTTGGCAGTTCAAATCCAGGGAGCAGGGTAAACTTCCGCTATTAGCCCCAGTTCCTGTCAACCTAGCAGTTCAAAAACATGCAAAATGTGAGTAGATCAATAGGTACTGCTTCGGCGGGAAGGTAACGGTGCTCCACGCAGTCATGCTGGCCACATGAGATTAGAGGCATCTATGGACAACGCCAGCTCTTTGGCTTAGAAATTGAAATGAGCACCACCCCCCAGAGTCAGGCACGACTAGACTTAATGTCAGGGGAAGCCTTTACATTTTATTCTTAAGACTGGGATTTTCTTGATATTTAGTATGGCAGAAGGCAGCTTATTAATATTTTAGGATATCAGAGGTTTCCAAACATTTCATGTTACTGACACAGTTCAGTTTTACTTATAAACCGAAGATTAAACCAACACCTCTTAAGAGATATAAACACATCCATAAATTGTAATAAATTGCAGGGTGCACAATATATCTCCTGAAAACTTTTCATTTATATATTTAAAAATATATGATATATTACTTATTTCACATAGATTTTTCGTTAGATTTGCAAATTGTTCAATGCTTATCTCTGAAAAAAGAAGTTTGATCTGTGTTGCAGATGTGGTATTTGTATATATATATACCATTCAACTTATGTGGTATACCATAAGAAAGTTTTTTTCTGTTTCTTTTTCCAGGATCTTTACATTGAGAGGCCTTTGCCATATTTAATTGGCTCCCAGCTTTTCATGGAGCAAGATGATGTTGGGCTTGGTGATCTTTCCAGTGACGGTAGGGCCTATTTTTTATTACTTAAGTGGAACAAAAGCTTTATGACTGCATATTTAGAACAGATGTAGACAATCTGGATGCCTTCCTACTACATTTTTACTGATTCTTGAAAATTACTCTTGCTGGCTTTGCTAGAACTTATAGTCGTTAAAGGTTCAAAACATATAATGGATCCTGGGTTGTGTACATTTGTATTAAAAGAAGAGAAAGATAAGTTCGCCTAGTACTAGTTCTTTTCTGTTACTATATAATCACTAGGTGAAATTTTGGGGGCATTCAATAAATTGTGGGAGCAGGGACTTCCAGCCCCAAAATATCTATTGTACCTGTATTGAACTCTGATTTGCACAAAGTCACTTGGAATATGATCAATTAGATATTACATGCCTAAGTCTTATTTGAATTCATCTTTTTTTTTACTTTGTGGAACAGAAGGTTCAGTAGATAGTGATCGTGGGAGCATGATTGACAGTGAAGGAAAAGATGAAGAGGTAAGAAAATAAATCTTATCCCGAGTATTTTTGTCTTGGCTTCAAAACAAAGGAAAATAACACTTCATGGAAAGGGAAGGAATGAATGTGTTATCATGCTGGTGCCCCCCAGACTTTTGTCTTTAGTTTGATAAGATGATATAAATAAAGTATTTGGACATGCTTTAATTCTGCTTGAATATCCTTGAGGTTGTCTTCTGAACCTGCTTCTGTGTTTCAGGAACTGGAAGAATTTGGGGATGGAAGTGAGGATGATCAGAGAGTGGTAAGAAATGTACTCAATCTCCTATTCATTGTACTTTTATCTTAAGCGTAGATGACGGTGCGAAAAAGGGAAGTAGTGAAATAGGGCTTTGAGCATTAGGTCTCTAAAAATGGAATGAAAGGGCAGATAGTCTCTTTGTGGCAAATGTAATAATGTCTTAAATTTTCTTTAAAAGAATGCAGGATTAAGTTTAAAATACACAATTTAGTTTTCTTGGTCTCACACAAATGAGTTTTCGCATCTGCACAGATGTCCTAGAACTGAGTAGCTTGATGGGAGCCTCCTCTTGCACACAGCACATATCCTAACCCACAAGCAGTTATTCTTCCCCCACCCACCCCCAAATTTCTCTTTCTCTGCTGAATCATTTACCACACTTGGGTTAGTGTGCTGTAGTGTTGAATAGTTCTCTTCTTTGTTTCTCATCTCATGTTCTATTTTTTTCTAATTTCCCTCTTTACTTTGCCACTTTACCACTAAACAGAACCAACAGTGATACATTTCCTCAGTGCAGTTCCCTGCATACGTCATCTACCAAGGTGACCAAAGCTGCCTCTGTCTCATATTTAGATCTGAAATCAGAATGGCCCAGTTAAAGTCCAGATCTTAGTTTGAATGTGAATCTGTGGTGAGACTTGAAAGTTGCTGTTCAGCAGTGTTTCATATAAAAAATGACTAAGCTGGAACAATTTACCCATGAAGAATTAGCAGAATTATTTATTTATTTATTTATTTATTCTGCTCTATCTCCCCGAGGGGGACTCAGGGCGGTTTCCAAGTGACATCACCAAAACATACAGAGTAAACAGCATAACATAAAATAAACAAAACAACATAAGCATAAAATTATCACAATAACACACACACATATATAAATAATCCTGCCTCTTCAGAGCAATTAAAAGGTCGAGCCGAGGTTAGTGCAAACTCAAAATATGAGGAGACCGGGAAATTAAGTACAGTGCTGTAACAGGCTAACAGCAATAGCAGGTACAGGTCTGTGGCTGCTCATTTCCAGGGCCTATTGGAGGGATGACTGGGGTAATAGGTAGGAAGTATAAAGCCATATAGAATCCAACTGATAGAGAGTCTGAGGTGTAATTGCTCTGAGTCTTCTTGGAAACGTGTTAGTGCAACTAATAAGTGGCAGTTTGCTTTGTTTACATAAATCTCACAATAAAAATAGTTCGTACACATTACTGAACCTCTTGTAAGTAGTGGTGATACCAATTAAATCAATTTCAGTGGCAGATTATAATGAAACAAAATGGGAAAAAGTCTTAAGTGATTGAGGTAGGATACTTCCTGCAAAGTCACATATTGAGAAGCCACTCCCTGATAAATAATATATATGAAGTTGGATAAATATCACCACAGAGAATATTGTTTTCTCATTGTGCTTCAGTATGAGATAAAGAATTTACCGTTTCCCCCCAGAAAGTAACATTGATAAGTGATGAAGAAGAAGATCTTTTTGGTGACTCTGAAAAGGGAGAAGAGGATGAAGAGTGTGACTTAGAACAAAATTCTCGAGTGGTAAGGAATTGTTGCATGGCATGTTTGAAAATCTATTTAGGAAAAACTTTCCATAGCAGTGTTTTTTAACTTGGGGTTCACTGAAATATTTCAGGGGATCCATGGGCCTGAACTGAAAAAAATCAATTTATTATCCTGAATTTCTATGACTTCTGACAGAAATCTAGCATTTCCTTCACTTGCGAATGTATTAAATTACAGTAGTATTCATTTCATATCACATTGTAGATGTTTTGGAAAAACTATTTATGCTCATCCATACTTTGAAATTATGGTAGTTGCTAGATCATGCATGATAACTTAAAGACATATTGATGTTCAGTGTCATAAAACTTATCTGCAGCCACATTCTGAGAAAGGATCTATGATTTTCACTTACTGGCAAAGGTTTTCATGTGATAAACAAGTTTAAGAACCCTGTTCTAAAGGGATTTTTTCTTGTTTTGAGCCTGGGCAAATCTGTTCAAAGCCACACTAGTATATTTGGATATTCTGAAAGAACCAGAATATGAAGTCTGTAGCTTGTCTAAAGCCGGTTATAGTGCCTGTGAATAAGAATATTTAGTCCTGCCTGATATATGACCAAACACAATGTTTGAATAGAAAGTATTTGTGTTGGTAATTACTTGTCATGCTTTAGCTTAAGGTAGGCATTAGAAACATCTGTCCTGCAAGTCAAATTTAGTCCATATGGGTTTCTCATCCAGGCAGCTCTCAATCCCCTTGTGGTCCTGCCCACTCTCCTGATTGAGAAAAAAAAATCTTTGGAAAGTTTCTCTCTGTCTCTCTTTCTTCCTCTTCTGAGTGCTGATTCATTCACAGCTTCTGCTGATAAGAACTGTTATTCATTAGAAAAGGAATTGGAGCGTAGAAACAGCTACTGAATAATTCAGTCCTATGTATTGTTGAAGGCTTTCATGGCCGGAATCACTGGGTTGTTGCAGGTTTTTCGGGCTGTATGGCCATGTTCTAGAAACATTCTCTCCTGATGTTTCACCTGCATCTATGGCAGGCATCCTCAGAGGTTGTGAGGTCTGACCTCACAACCTCTGAGGATGCCTGCCATGATGCAGCCAGCACACACACAGGTGCTGGCTCGCAAATAAATGTGCTGCTCAAACACCAGCTTATTTCTTAGTAGACTTCATTTGGGATGCTGTTTGAAAATGCTGGTCACTCCATATACATACAGCAGCTTGCCTTGCTTCGGTATAAATTGGTTTAAAGTCAGTAAGAATTCCGTAGCTGGGAGATGACCCTTCCTAGTTTCCCTGTCTTAGAATTAAGAATTTATTAAATACTATTTATTATATAATTGAGAATCAAGATTATTCCGTGTATAAACCTTCTTCCCAGTGACCATTTCCTAATATATGAGAGGTCTTAAATTCATTTTTTCATTCTTTTATCAATCCTTTTTTTTCAAGAAGATCACCCTCCACATTCACAAAGATTAAGGGTGCAGGACCCTTGCAAAAGTGGAAAAAACATGAATATCTTAAACCCCCAAACTGCATATCTAACACACAAAAAGGAACAGTGCAGTAATTTCCAAACATTGAAAATGTGGATTTTATTGGTTCTTCCTCCTTATGAAGACTTGACTTTAGTCCTTGTATGCACACATGTTATCCTTTGTGACTTGACAAAGGTGCCAAGTCAAGATTGGATCAGGGACAAGGAAACAGATCTTACAAAATCAATCCAAAAATCTGCTCCCTTCTTCATATACACAGATAATAGTCTGCACAGCTGGAAGGAAAAGAAAGGTAGAAGATCAGGCTGCTGAAAAGGAGATATAGCTGTGAGGAAGGAAGAGAACACCAAAAAACAACCCAGAAAATTGCTGGGAGTAGTTTTCTGGGTTGCTTTTTAAAGATCCATGTCCACGCTCCGTATTCAGCAGCACTGTCTATCTGAAAGCAACCTATTCCCTTGTTCCTGTCTCTAGTCTGATCTGGGCTTGGCATCTTTTCTCCACTCAGCTTGTTTACTAAGCAGGAGATGTACTCGAGCATTTGGTGAAGCACAATATTTAATAGAGATTTACCTTGTGTTTCCAGTCTCTCAAGACTTGCAGAGAGACTGGAAACGCTACGTAAGACTTATAAATTCTTGAGAAATATATAGAAGATCAACCTTGGAGGTTGCAGCAAATAATCCACAAAGGATCAAATCCGTGAAAGGCAAAAGTGCACAGGACACTGTAAAAAAAAGAAAAACCGGATTTAAAAAAACCACCACTATTTTGTTACCTGGAAGAACACCTCTCTGGGAATCTCTAGTTCCTCCAGCACAACTCTGTAGTCACCTTCACCGGAAGTTGCCAAAAAAGTCACATGGGAGGACCTAGCAATTCCTAGAGAGGTGTTCCAGTAGAATGTGTCCATAGTCAAAGCCATGCCCACAAACGTGGAGGACTCGTTGTACTTTCAGAGCTCGAAATATGTATGCTTTCCAGGAAAATAAATGTATCTTTGTAGCACCTTTTGAAAACTGAGTTACCTAAAATTAGAATTAAGAACCTTTCCATGTTTTCTTTCTCCTGTTCTTCCCCATATGACCACTTTAGAAAAACAAAAGGCCTACGTCATTTACAGATGAGCTTGCAACTCGTATCAAGGGACCCATGACAACTGAATCAGAGGAAGAGCAATTGTGTAAGTTGGGATTCAGTTATTTTTCATTTTGAAGTAATATTAAGATCTATTTATATGTCAGAAAATTTTCTTGGGCCATAAATGACCATTGTCATTTTTTGCATATACCCTCAATGTTCATCAGATGGAACTAAACTTCTCCATTGCACTACGATGGAAAGAGCACTACCATAACCTCCTTAACCACAGTTCCAATGTGGTCAAAGAGATTTTGTTGCAGATCCTTCAACAACAAACCAGGGATGAGCTTGCAGCACGGCCTAGTTTGGAGGAAGTCAGCAAAGCCATTGTATAATTTTTGTTTGATTACATTTGGTTTAATTTACTGTATTTTCTGGTGTATAAGACTACTTTTTAAAAACTCTCAAAAGTTGGGGGTCGTCTTATATGTCAGGTGTTGTCTTATAGGACGGTGCTGAAACTTCCAAGCCGGACCGGAGAATCTTTGGTCACCGCATATGGTGGGGGGAGCTCAAAAACGGTTGCAGCCTCATCCCCACCGTATGCGGCCACCGTATGAAAGCAGGAAGGGTTGAGCTGTACAAGTACAATAGAAGAAAATCCACTCACCAGGATTCATGGAAAGACGTGATCGCCCTGTATCCTATTACCGTACTTCCTTCTCTGCTTCTCAGATCTCGCTCCTGAGGTCTGCAGTGAAGTGGTTCAGGCATGCATGTGTAAGATCTGAGAGGCAGAGAAGGCAGTACGGTAATAGGAAAATTACCATATTGAAATCAATGTGATGTTTTTAAATTTTTTATTTGGTGTGCATTGATCCCCTAAATGTGTGTGTGTGTGTGTGTGTCTGTATGCATGTGTATACTTGTGTTTATTATGAATGATCAAATGTAGCTTTTTGTTGTTGCAAATTGGATGTTTACTCATACAGTAAAAAGAAGAAAATTGATGTATTATGCTTTTCTCCTTAAACTATTAGCATATACGAAAAGTAGGAGAAATGTGGCTGAAAAGGAAGATGTTTCATCAGATGGTATGTTGTGCACATTCTTGATGTGTTTATCATTCTTTGAGATAATGGAGCAGGAAATTATGGGGGACATTACTGATTCCTTTTTAAGTCTGATTTTCATGTTTTAACCTTGGGGAATGCAGCTATAGTGTAAAAGTACCTTTATCCTTTTATTTATTTCTTTTTAAAGAAAGCATGTGAATAAATGTATGCAGTATTTATATGTAAGTACTAGCTGCCCCTGCCATGCATTGCTGTGGCCCACATGGGGGTTCTGTGTGGGAGGTTTGGCCCAATTCTATTGTTGGTGGGTTCAGAATGCTCTGTGATTGTAGGTGAACTATAAATCCCAGCAACTACAACTCCCAAATGTCAAGATTCTATTTTCCCCAAACTCCACCAGTGTTCACATTTGGGCATATTGAGTATTCGTGTAGAGTTTGGTCCAGATCCATCATTGTTTGAGTCCACAGTGATCTCTGGATGTAGGTGAACTACAACTCCAAAACCAAAGGACACTGCCCACCAAACCCTTCCAGTATTTTCTGTTGGTCA